CAATTTGCAAACACAAAACTGGAAGCTCCCCATGGGGACAGGATTAAAAAAAGAGGGTTATTCTATTTGGAGCTGGTCCAGAAAGCAAAGGGAGTATATATAAATGTATATGTTTATGTCCAAAATGGATTTAATTGAGGTTTGTTGTGTCCAGTGGTGCTCTGCTAGAAGCAGGAGCTAAAAACACGGCAGGGCTGGAGAAGGAAGGTTGAGGAGGACACCAAAGCAGATCTGAGAAAGGTCAGCCCTAAATGGCAACCTGTCCATTTCTGCAGCAGTTTGCTCTCCTATTTATGATGGCATTTTCTGGGAAGAGCTGGCCAGAGCCAACTAGGGCAGGCTTGTAAAAAGATAATTTTTCTCCCTTAGAAAACACAAAGTCAGACAGACTGGGCTGCTGGCTTTTCTCCCTGCCCAAGATCTGCTGCCCTGGGCAATTTGTTCTGTTGCAGCAGCTCTTTGCTGGAGTGAGTGGCGTCTGGGCAGCCTCAGAGCAGACGCCAGTCACTCCAGCAGAGAGCTGCTTACCACAGCTTTGGTAAATAATTTCTGCAGTGCTGCAGCAGCATCTCACAGAGCAGCACTGTTATTTCGTAGGCATCTCCAATAATAACTCCGAGAGGAGAGGCCACAAGACATCAGCAAAAGCTGCTGCCGCTGACCAAAACTTTGGAGGAGCAGGAACAGAAGTGGGAAGAGAATAGAAATAGGGACTGAGTCACTGGCTGGAGAGGCAGCAAGGGAAAATTGAAAAAGGCAGGCTGCTAAAGCTGGGACACGGCTGCGGGGTCAGCACAGGCTGGGCTGATCCTTCCCCACATTTCTCACAACCTCTAAATGGGGACATGAAAATCAGTATGGGAAAAAGAGAATATTGGCTTCCCTGCTGTGTGTCCAGACCGAAGGTAGCCAGAGGCACTCATTGCTGAAGTACCACAGATCCATCTCCTTTTGTGCTGAAACTGCGTTTTGAGTGTCCCTGCTGGCAGCTGGCTGCAGGATCTCCAGGGCTGCTTTTCCAGCAGAAAGCAGGATTAGGGAGGAAAGGAGCTGACCCCGGAGTCACTGGCACTGCTGGGTGATGCTGGGAGCAAATCACCCTTAAACAGACAGCAGGGCACAGCAGGGCAGAGTTTGGTGCAGCAAACACCCAGCTCACACACCCAGCACAGGGTCTGGCTTTGCTGAGAGGGCAGATGGGGGCTGGAAGCCAGTCAGGTCTCCAGGGAACCTCCTCCAATCCATTGCCACTCCATGGAATGAGAAAACCCCTCTCTGAGCTGGCACCCCCGGGCTTGGCCCTTGTGCTCCTCCAGCTCTGCTGAGAACCCATGGAAAGCGCTGGCTCTGACATTCCAGGCTGCTGGGAGAGGATGAGGAGCAGCAGCTCCTTCCCCTCTCCCTGCTGCACGGCCACTCTGGGCATGCCAGGCAGCTCTGGGGGCAGCTGCCCCCTGCAGACCCCTTCCCATCCTCTCGGAGCCAGGACTGGGGTTTTCCTTAGCTGGACCTGCAATTCTGACACTAACCCCTGGTGTTTTGGTGAGCCAAGCCCTGGTGTAGCACCCATCACTCCCCCAGACAGGTCCAGCTGAATTCTGACCTTGATTTCCCTCCTGAGGTGGGGCATGGCCTGGAACAGCTCCCTGCCCAGCCTCACCTGGCACGCTGGCTCTTGCCCACCCTTCCCAAAATCCAGAGATGCCAAGCTGACCTTGTGTGCAGCTTCCCAGGCCCCAGCAGGCCGGGCTGGGACACTGAGGGGATGGAGCCCTGGCTGCAGCAGGCACCTGACAGAAAATGAATTTTACAGAAACGAGTGGGGTTCAGCTGCCAGCCCCTTTGTACTCAGCTGGTAAAGGATTGAGGCACAGGGACCAGATGTGAACTGAGAGCAAACCAGCCACGAGAGAGGAGGAGTGTGGAGAGCTCAGCAGGAACCAGATCCCAGCAATTCTTGTCCCACTTGCCATGGGACCTTCCCTCTCTTCACTGAGCTCCACCAGCCTTGTGGCAGGGACAGCAGCTGGTCAGCGCAGCTCAGGACAAGGGAAATCAATTAATAAATTCCCAAAGCCAGGTTAGGACAAAACTTTTGGCTGCAAGTGCTGCCAACCCCTCCTGAAGCCACTCCAGTGAGGGCAGTGCCCAGGCAGTGCCAGTGCCCCAGCTCCCAGTGCCACCCTGTCCCTGTGCTCTCCAGACAGGTGGGACACGTGCAGCAGGACAGAGGGACACTGGCCATCCCAACAGGAGCTGTTCCCATCATCATTAGCCGAGCAACAAACGCTCCTTGTGCAGCCATAAAGCCAGGGTGGCATTTTTATTAGCTGAGGTTTCCTCTCCTTTCTTTTTTTTTTTTTTCTTCTCCTTTTTTATGGCCTTATCCACAAATGCTGAGAGCCAGAGGGAATTATTTGTTGCTTACATTAAAGCAAGAAGCCCTCAGACCACAGTGCTACAACCACTCCCCCTATCATTATTTTCTTCTTTTTGGATTTATATGAAGCTCATTATTAAACCTGAGCTAACACAGACATCCTAACAAGGCACCCAGTGCTAATAACTGCTAAACAGCATTATTAGTTATTGTAATTACAGCGTTTAATTGATGATATTAAAGAGAATACTTGCCTACTTTTCCAACAACAAAAAAAAATCCACAAATGTATCTTATTAACACGAATTCTATTCTTATTGGTAAAACTATTGTTAGATTCAAAGACAGCAAGTTTGGTGCATAAACAGCACCAAAAAAGACAGCATAAAAAAATGGGATGGTGGGGCACGTTCCCAAACTCTGGTGTAGCTTAGCTGGGATGGGGATGGAGGGAGAGGAGTTCTGTCCCTGAAACCTGACAGCAGCAGCTCTGGTGGCTTTTAGGAGGGGCATAAATCCATAAATTCCCTAAAACCAGTGCAGGCAGGTCCGTGCAGGCTTGGGGAGCCAGGATCACCTCTCCAGAGGGTGGTTCTGTGCAGTGAGAGGGAATGGGAGTGGCAGGAATCATCTCCAGGCTCCCCTGTGGGTCTGATATGGGGCTGGGATGCTGTGACATCCCCACTGCCCCTCTTCATGCCCAGCGGAATTATTCATGCTGAGCCCAGACACCCAAACGGCCGCACAAACACTGAGCTGCGCTTTTAATTAAAGATGTGCCGAGATAAAAAGCTGCACAAACCAATTTTCAACAATTAAAAGTAATATTCGAGGCGTTTGTCTCCCCAGTCTGCATGTGTCCCGGGCAGCTGGGGGAGCCTGGCAGCATTTTCATGGTTTTTATCATTGTCAGGACTTTTTGCAGCGATTCCCCGTGCAGGATGAGCCCCGTCCAGACGTCTCTTTGCTCCAAAGAGTTAAGATTTCACTTGTCAGGCTGTTTTTGTTTCTATTCACATGTCAGTGCCTGTCATTTATTTAGTCAATGGGACATGTCCAAGGGATGGAGACAGACTGGGTTAGTCATTCTGACCGTGGGTCGCCAGTCACTGCAAACTGCCTGAGGTCATTTCCAAAAGCGCCAGGAACAATGAGAGGGAAGCTGGGCCCGGGAGACCTGCAGGAAACGCCGTGGAGATTAAAGACAGAGATAGTCCTTTGCAAAAGTACACTGGAGGAATGTTCCCTATGTTCTGTCAACAGAGTTTCTTCCTCGCTCAAGACTGTCTATTTTAAGTCTGAGCTCGCACCAAAAATGGAAATCCTCGCTCAATGGCTATCAGTGGATCTTGGGTTTCTGGGGCTGCCTCGCCGAGGAAATGAACCCTCGGCTGGGCTGGAGAGGCTTCAAACGATCCCTCCTTGCAGCAGCTCCGTGCCGGGCTGAAGGATGGAGCTGCAGCCATGGCAGTGCCCTGTGCCCACGAGCACTGTCCCCACGGGGTCCCCACAGAGCCCAGAGCCACGGAAGGAAGGGACAGCGCTGGGGACATCTGCTGCAGCGTCCCTGCTCCAGCAGGGTCACCCCAGCCTGGCCCAGCACTGCAGCCAGAGCTGGGCACTGCCAATGGCACCTGGCAGGGCTGCCAGGCCCTTCCAGGACACTCCTGCTTTGGGGAAGGGACGGCAAAGGGAGCAGAAATCAGCCATCAACATGTGCTGCAGCACCTTGGGCTCAGCTCAAGCCCCGTGACTGCAGATTTGGGGGAACGGGAAATTCCTCTGGCAGCCAGCTGGGCCTCAGTGCAGGGCTGGAGCACGAGAGCAGCTTGAGGTGCAGAGATGCACTTTTTGCTTTTTAAGCAGAACAGGCCAGGCCGCCCTCACTTAATGCATAAGGTACCTCTGGGTGTTTTGGAAAACACTAATAACAACCACATGATTGGTGTAAAACGCTGCCTTTTCCATCCAGACACACTATTGTTTGCAGATAAATACATTCCACCGAGCTTTTTCCCCCCCCTATCCTTTCTGCATGTGGCTTCTGCATCTCAGGAAGATGGGGATGGGGTTTGACCATGGTGGTGGCCCAGGAGGAGCCACTGGAGCTCTCTGGCTTGGGAATTAGGGACTGGGGCTAGACCCTGCCCTGGGTGAGGGTACAAGAGCCAGAGCTATGGGACAGGGATGGAAGGGTGAGGAAAAGGAGCTGCACAGTAGATCTGTAGCAGTTTTTCTAGGCGAAAGCAGAAAATGAGTTTTTTAGAACACAAACATCCCTCATGGACACGCGCACACACAGGAGAAAACCCAAATTCCCGAATTCCTCAGCGTGGTATTTATGAAGGCACTCGCAGACATGATACAGGCCAGCTCCGGGAGATTTCTCCACGTGTTGTTAAAGATTCGAATTACAGAGCAATTTGGAGCCTTTGAAGAGGCTGGAGCGGGCACGGTGAGCCCGGGGCTGCTGGGGCAGGGGCTGGCTGGAGATAAGGCAGGGCCAGCAGTGACGGAGGCACGGGGGGAATTGGCTCTGCCTGCAGATAAGGGAAGCATCCTGCTCGGAGCACGGGGTAAACAACTTTTAATACACAAGTGACTTATCTGGAGAGTCCCACGGGAGGAAGCGGCGCTGGCCGAGGCTCCGTCTGCGCGCTGTGACACGGCGGGGACGCGGCACCGCCACGGCACCGGGGCCTGGAGCCAGGGGGTCTGGGGAGCCCAGGGGGGTCTGGACCTCAGGGGAGTCTGGGGAACCCAGGGGGTTTGAAAAGCCCAGGGGGTTTGGGGAACCCAGAGGGTTTGTGGAGCCCAGGGGGTTTGGGGAGCCCAAGGGCTTTTGGGAGCTCAGGGGGTTTGGGGACCTCAGGAGGTTTGGGGAACCCAGGGGGTCTGAAGAGCTCAGGGGGTTTGGGGATCCCAGGGGGTTTGGGGAGCTCAGGGGTTTGGAGAGCTCAGAGGGCTTGGGGAACCCAGGGAGGGTCTGGGGAGCCCAGGGAGTTTGGGGATCCCAGGGAGTTTGGGGAGCTCAGGAGTTTGGGGATCCCAGAGGGTTTGGGGATCCCAGAGGGTTTGGGGATCCCAGGGAGTTTGGGGAGCTCAGGAGTTTGGAGAGCTCAGGGGGTTTGGGGAGCCCAGGAGGGTTTGTGTTTGGGTTGCTCAGGGGGGTTTGGGTTCGGGGAGCCTGGCTGCTCGTGGGTGCTGGGGGTAAGCCTCAACCAGCTTGCAAAAGGGTGTGGGAATCCACAAAATCGGAGGGGTTTGGGAAAGCTGCAAAAAGCAGGCCTCCGAGACAGCAGGACTGTGATCAGAGCTAAGCAGCAGCCATAAAATAAGTCAGCAGAAAAATGATGTAAAAAGTAGAAAAGTAAGGACAAATGGGACAATGGTCTGTGTATTAACGCTTGGCTAGAATAACAAGATGGATGTCTTATCTTGTCTAGATAAGAGATGGATTTGTCTCTGGCAGAGGGAGCAGGGCTCCTGGTCACAGGTGGCCTGGTGGTTTTGCAGGTAGGTATTGAGCCAGCCAAAGGAAAAATCACAGAAAAAGACTCCAAAAAGAGACTTAAATGCTCTTTTTAAACAAAAAACTGCCAACACCAATCATTTTCCCCACTAACAACACAGAATTTTGGGTAAAACTCAGGTGTGTTTTCATTGATAAGGGCAGGAAAGCACTCCCAAGCTGGAGACAAGAAGTCCCAGTTGTGTCACCACAGCTGGAGAAGGCTGGTTTTTCATCATGGGAGGAGAACTCAGGAGATGCCAGCCACTCCCTGGTGCTCCCTGTGTAGCTGCAGGGCTCATCTCAGCTCTGCCACCTTGCTGAGCATCCCTCCCATGTGGTACCCGGGGGGACACAGCCAAACCTCGTCCCTGTGTGGTTTTTGGGGAGAGAAGATGGAGTCAGGAAGAGCTGCTCTTCAGTTGAGAGCCTGATTTATGGCCCAGGCCTCAGGCAAATCCCTCACTGGCTTTGTGGTTTCATTTCCCCATCTCTACAATCTCTTTCACGGGTCATGTGTGAGGGGGAATTAACAGTCAAACTTTGTTTTTAATAAATATTTAAAGATTTGTCTCGTGTTTTATGGGTGTTTCTGAATGATCTTCCTGCCCTTGCATAAAGGGTCTCTCCCTGCCAGCTCTTTAATCCCAGCTCCTCTGCCTGGCGTGGAGCGATGCCTCTGCTGCAGATTTGGGCTTTCATTGAGTAACAATTAAGCTGCCTCAGTTAAATGTAAAGGCATGTGAAGAAAGTTTTCTGCTGCCAGATCAGTGCTGGGTGCCAGCAGCACCCTGAACTGAAGGGTTCCTCTGCAAAAGCTCAGCCAAAGCAGCACCCAGGCAGGAGCTCTGAGTGACCCCCAGCACCCCAAAATTCCCCATTGATGTGTGAAGCAGGAGTAAAAACTCTGCTTTCAGCAGCCCAGCGTGGTTTGGAAGTGAAAGCACAGGTTTGAAGCTCCTCTGAGCTGAGGCCAGTGGAAATTCAGTGTGGGTTTGACCCCAGCACTGTGCACGCTTTGCTCTCTGCCTGTTCATTGTTAAACTCATTAAAACCATCGGGGTTTTTGCATCTTAAAAGTGTTTTCTGACTTTGTAAAATATGTGAATGCTTAAGAAACAATCTGTGTGCAACTGTGTAAATAGTGATTAAGGAGGAGGAACTCTGTGGTGTTCAAAGGCAAGGAAAGGAGCAGAGCAGCCTGTGGAATGATGAGTTAATTTTGTCTCCAGCCTACCTGGTGCCCAGCTCACCTCCCTCCCACCTGGCTGCTGATGGGCCCTGTGCTCCTCCACCCAGGTAAGTGATTTTAAGCTGAAGATTCAAAATTAGCTGTCTCAGACGTGCCCCAGCACAAGGTTGGTCACTTCCTTACAATATGGATGTGGGACTTCAATATCTGTGTCTGGGAGCTCTGGGATCCCACCAGGAACCCCCTGATCGTACCTGGGAGCTCTGGGATCCCACCAGGAACCCCCTGATTGTACCTGGGAGCTCTGGGATCCCACCAGGAACCCCCTGATCGTACCTGGGAGCTCTGGGATCCCACCAGGAACCCCCTGATTGTACCTGGGAGCTCTGGGATCCCACCAGGAACCCCCTGATTGTACCTGGGAGCTCTCCCTTTGGTTCCCTGGGTGCTGAAGGCAGTGCCCTGGCCAGGAGCAGACTCATTTTCAGCAGTCACTCACATTTTGTCCCCAAATGCTCTCGCTGTCCCTGGGCCTGACCTCAGCACCCTGCTCTGTCCTGGGTCTCCTGTGCTCCGTGTGTGAAGGTGGAACAATGCAGCTCTCTGAGCACCCCTCCAGCACGGAGGAGTTGGGCATTGTTTTCTTTTCCTGTTTTGTTTTGTGTGGATAACTCCCCTCTCTGGAGTCACTTCGGCTCCAGAACAGACTATTAATAAACTCAACTGCTTTGGGGAGCCCAAGCCAAACGCTGCCCTTAGAGGGGAAAAAAATAAAATCTACAATTGCACAGAGCCTTTTCATCCCTGTGAACCTTCTGAGGGGCACGTGGTGATTATCCACCACGTCACCAGGTCACTGCTGGCTCTGGGAGCCACCACAGCCCAGCCTGCCCCTGCTGGCCCTGGGCTGGTGAGCTCTGCAGCACAGCAGGGGCTTTCTCTAAGCTGGGGCTCTTTGGTGGCTTCCCTCAGCTTGGTTCTTGAATAAATGGTGCTGTGAAGGGGACAAGGGGTGGCCCTGTGGTTAAGGCACAGGGCTGAAGTCAGGGAGCTCAGCAGGAGGATGAGACAGTGCTTTGGTATCAAGGTTTTCTCTGCTGGCCCTACCAGGTTCTGCAGAACACAAACTTTGGCTTTAAAAAGAAAAATAAAAACAGCTCCATTATTTGGGAGTCCAAGGTCCAATTCAAGCAGCCAATGGGGGTGAAAACACAGCTGAAGTCTGTGCTCCCCTTCAATGTTAAATCTTACTCCAGGCACAGGATCTGAAGCCACTTAGGATAAAACCAAGGGTATCCATCAGCAGAAACACTCAGGGATCACAGGAAGAGGCTGAGAGTTACTTTGGTAGGGGGTGAGATGATATTTAAAATATATAAGCACAATATCCAGCCGAGAGATAGGGTCAGAGGTCCCATGGCAGCACAAAAGGAAGAAGACCATGTGCCAGATCTTTCTCCAAGTGGTACTCAAAGCCGCTGGAGTTGCTCTGGAGAGGCCAAAACCAGATTTCAGCACCAATTCTGGAATGGGATGCACGCAGAACTGACACAGGGTTGCAAGACTGACAGAGGAGGTTGAGCACTGAGTCCAGGTGCCATACTGGTATGGATCTCCCACAGAACAGAGGGGTTCCATTACTTTCCTTTTAAAAATGTATAAAATTAATAGAGCTCTGAAACAAGAAACAGCTCAAGCCAAGTGTTCAATTTCCACTCACAAACCACAAACCAGCACCTGCCCCCCACCCACCTCCCAAAACAAACCTGAGCCTGAAATTCAGTAATTTTTCAAACAGCAGTTCTTTCACTCAAAATCTCAAAAAAACTAGAGGTTTCACTTTCTTCCATTATCTCCAGCACCAGGAAAGCCTGGCAGGTTCACTTCCACACAACAACTGCCTCTGCTTGGCTCTAACCTGCCCCCAGACAGCACTGGGGAGGGTCACCTCTGTTTTCTGCCTGTCCTGGAAGGAAATCACTGTTTGCCCAGGACGAGGGCAGGTGCCTTCCCTTCCCCATGATCACCTGTGCTCGCTGCTGGCCCTCAGAGCTCCTTGTCCCTGTGCTTCCCCTGACAGACTGGAGCGTGTTCCCCTCTCCCTGTGGCTCAGGCTTTGCCTGATGTGCAGGGACTTGCTTTGGCACCATCTGATTAGCTGCTGTTAACATCACTTATCCTGCTGGAGCTTCTTCCCAGTGAGCAATGAAACATTCCTAATCCAGGCAGATTAAAGAGAGACACGTTTCATCATCCACCTCCCAGCTTCCAGCACTCCACTAGAAGGGAAGAGGCCTTTGGGTTTGGGAATTGCTCACAGCTCCATGGGAGTGGAGCAGCCCTGATGGAGACACAGCCTGACAGCTCTCAGCTCCACGGGGAGCTTGGGCTGTGAAAACGATTTCATGGTGCTTTACCTCAACCTGCTGCAGATGTTCTGCACCCTGGGTGAGCCCAGCCTGAGGTGCTGCTGCTTCCAGACCCCTCCCAAGGCTTTCCAAGCCGGGTCAGCTGCAGCCACTGCTGCTGTCCAGCCTCCTCCCTGGCTCAGTCTGGGAAACCAGATCATACCCAGCATGGCCTTATCCAGAACACACTTCCCATGGTTTAACCTGCCCTTCCAAGCTTGTGGAGCTGCTCTCAGTGGATGTGAGCACGTGCACACATTCCCCAACCACGGCAGGGGCTTTAAAAGTTGTGGGTCAGTCCCCACCTAACTGAGCTGTGCCACATGAACATTCCAGCTGGGAGGAGAGCAGCCTCTGAGCAGCACTGCTGGGGAAGGACCAACCTGCAGCCCAGAAAGTGTGACAGCAAAGAATTTACTGGCAGGATGGAAATACTGTGTCAGAAAAAGCTGGGATTGGAAGCTGCCTTTTTGTTGTCACCCAGAAATCCCAGCACAAGGTAAAAATAGGGAGGAAACCTGAGCTTCAGTATTTCCGCTGCTCATGGGGCAAGTTATTTTTATTATCACAATAAAAAAAGATCCTGCCTTGAGAGGTTTGGGGAGGCACCACTGGCCTTCTAAAACCTCTCTCTGGAAAGTGTGGTGACCACTAACCCCAGGTAAAACATAACACTCTCCCTCCAGCCTTGACCTGTCCCCAGAGTTTCCCATATCCCTCGTTTTGCCTGATCCCTGATGTTCTCTTGGAGCAGGGGTTCCCGTGTGCCTACCTGGGGCACAGCAGCTCCTGAACTCCAGAAGGACCCTGCTATAAAGCAGAGAAGTTCCCACATTCCTGGGACATGGCTGGACACAGCCAAGCAAGAACAGAGGCAGCAGCACGGAGTGTCCGCTCTGCCACGACACCCAGAACCAATTTAGATCCAAACCAAGCTTTTCACTTGCCACCAAAATAAGCAACTTATGGAATTGCTATCCTGCCCAAACCACAGGGCTGTTTTAATGACCTTCCATTTAGGCATTAAGGAGTGAAATGTCTAATCCTGTCGAGTGTGTAAGGAGGTGACTCACTCCCTCAGCGCTGTAAGCTGCCTCCCTTTTGGCAGCTGCTCTGTGCAGCAACGAGAGCAGCCCTCAAAATGGCAGGGCTTGGACCTGCTCACCTGGAAGGAGAAACAAACCCTAACTGCAGGTAAGACCTCATTTCATGTCTGTGTGCAATAATATTATTCCAGTTGCCAAGCAGCAAACGGGAGGTGCAGTAAAGGACAGAGATAAAGCCTTGTGAGTAGGGGTGTGCTCCCAGAGTCACTGAATCCTGCAAGGCATCTTAAAGCTCATCTTGTCCCCATGGGCAGGGCACCTTCCACTATCCCAGGGTGCTTCAAACCTCATCTAGCCTGGCCTTGGACACTCCCAGGGATCCAAGGGCAGCCACAGCTTCATTCCTTCATATGGGGGGGTTTATCCAGTTGTGCTGGGTTTATCTGCTCTTGTCCAGGGGTTAAGACCAAGATCTGCTCTGTCTGAATAAAAAGGGAAAGGTGATGGTTTGAAGTAAGCATGGATTCAAACCTCATAGAAATCCCTGACTGTCCTCCTACTGGCAGCCCTGAGCTTCCCACCAGGCAGAAAAGGGACAATGTGATGGGAGAAAATGTGGCTGTGATCATCCCCTGCGTGGGTGGGTTCTGCTGATGGAAAAGGTGATGGTCTTCAAGTCAGCTCCTTAAACTGACCTGTGATATAAACAGTGAACAAACAAGCAGGAACAACCCATGGCTGAGTGTCCATCTGCTTCTGTTGTTCATGTAACCACTTGTTTGTCCACACTGCAAGATGTTACTGGGGCAATTAATGGGGCGAGCTCGCCCCTAATGGGTTTTTTCATCAGCACAATCCAAACCACCGAGCCCTCCCTTGCAA